CATCCATGACGTCAGCAAGGAGCGTCCAACGGGTATATTTTTGTGTATAAATAGAAGTGTTGGATGTGGAAAAAAATTTAAGAACTTGAAGAGAAAATTTTCTGTGAGCTCCAAATTGTATTCTTCTCTTTCACTTTCAGATCTAAGTTTAGCTTTTGTTCTTACACTTTCATATTTACTCTTTGTGAGAGAATTGTTGTAAAAGTGGGTTCAATTACCACTTATTCTTATTCCTTATTTTTGTGAGAGATTTTGTAAGGGTAGGGCATTTATTGTTGAGTGAGGCTCAATAGATAAGAGTAAGCCCTGTGCCAAATCCACAAGCTTGGTGGTGTATTTATTCAATTGATAGTAAAGAAATTCTCAAGGAGGTTCCTTGGGGAGTGGACGTAGGCCTGGCGTGCCGAACCACTATAAATCGCAGTGTTTGATTTTCTCTCTCTATCTCTTCTACTTTTATATTGATAATTATTATTCTTTTTTTTTATTTATTAAAATTCTGAATATTGTGTTATTTTTAATATTGTGAAATTTTTAATAACCCAATTCACCCCCCCTCTTGGGTTGCCTATCTGGGATAACATGTTATTTATTTATTTTGTTTGAATTTATTTCAAGTTATTTTATTTACACAGAAGATTGGTCCAACAAAATTTACCTACAATGATGTGGTAAGAGATATAAGCCCTACACAATGGAGTATATGCCAAATAAAAAATTGATAAGTATCATACAATATCATTATGGATCAAATTGTGATTGGTTTTTTTTTTGTTGTTGTAAGTTTTAAACATTTTTCATATATTAATATGTAGTTGTGTAGACATATTTTAAAGTGTAAATCACATCTTTTTGGAAATATAGTAAGTTTTACAAATTAACATAATTAATTGGACTCATTTAAGAGTTTTAATTTGCATAACACTAATCTTTTTTATCAATAATTTGTTAGTTATAAAGAAGAAAATTTGTTATTTATTTCACATTGAAATATATTACTAAAAGAGAAATTAGTGTAATTTTGTCAAAACTATAGAAATTATTGTATTTACTTAAAACCTGAGAAGAGATTAGTGTAATTTGCTCTATTTTAAATGATTACCAATGAAGTTGATTATGTTACAATGAAAAGGAAACTCTATACCATCAACAATTTTTGATTGTATTGATTCCAATAAAACTAGCAAACAACAGGGACAATTATACAAACTTACAAAATCCCAAGTCTTTTTCGATACAACTGAGAGTGCAAATTTGCAAGCCTACTTATCCAACACATCATACCCTAACGAACCAATAACATCAAACGAGTTCTACTATGTTAGGATTTTGGATTTGTGAAATCCAAATAAAAAAAACACTTAAATTTTAATATTGTTTGTCAAAGGTCTAAGTGGTCAAATATTTTGTTCAAAAGACAAATTCAAATAAAATGACTAACATACCCACACCCTTGTATATATATCATACATATGGTTCAACCCAAACAAATCATACTTCAACCTTGTTTGGGAACAAATTATTTGAATAATTTTTTGACTTTTTATGAAAAAATAGGCATAAAAGTAAAGAGAGTGATGTGACAACTTACGGTGATTTTTTTTGACTAAAATAGCTACTCCCCAAACGAGGCCTCTCTCTCTCTCTTCTCTACTCTCTCTCATTTTCTCTCTTCTCCCCAGCGCCACCGCCACTGCCGTGACGCCGGAGTCGCCATCCACTTCGCACCTCTCCTCCTCCTCAGTGCCACCACCACTGTCCACGCCGTTGGTTCACCTTCGTCGACTCTGTCATCCGCTCCACCTTTGTCACAATCTCTCTTTTCCTGCCGCTGCCACCTCTTCCGTCCCCTCCTCTCATCTTCGCCGTCCTCCTCCGTCATTCGTTGCTGTTGCCACCGTCAAAGGCCACACGGATCTATAGATCGATGTCTCTTCTAATCTACAGATCCGAATAACCACGATGCCTCTGGATTCTGCTCCTTCACAGATGAGCACCACCACTGCCTCTCTCGTCTTTCATCCTCCAGATCTATTGTTCCTCTTTCTTACATTTATACATTATGCACACACATATATATATACATGCACATATATGTGAGTGCTTGTTCCTCTCTCCTCTTTCTTACATTTATATATTATATATTTGTTATTTTTTGTTGCTATTGATGATGATTATGAATCCTTTTTTTTTTTCTCTTTTTTTGGTAGTTATTGATTGTTGTTGTGTTGTTGTTAATGAAACAATTGCAGATATATAGGTTCAACAGATTCATATGTTTGGTTTCATACATAGAGAGAAAGTAGGTTCAACAGAGTAGATATAAAAATAAAACAAATAGGTCACAAATTCAACACCTTAAAAAATAAGATCAAAATTTGAACTAATGTTTGATTGCTCTGCAAAATTTGTACAGATCAAAATTATACAGATTAAAATTTGTATAGAGAAAATTTGGATAGAAAATTTGTACAAATAAAAATATAGAACAGATAAAAAATTAGATAGGTAAAATTTGGGCAGATAGAAAATTTGCACAGAAAAATTTGAACAGATAGAAAATTTAAACAGAAAAAATGAATAGATAGACAAAAAAATTGAACAGATGGACAGAGAAAATTGAACAGATAGACAAAAAATTTGAATAGATGGATATAAATTTAAACATATGGTCAAAGAAGTTAAACAAATAAAAAAAAGTCAAAAAGTAAAATTGAAAATAAAATGTTTTCTAGGACTTCTCACCAAACTATTTTACAAAGTGTGGATTTCTCACCAAAAAAAAAAAAAAAAAAAGGACTTAATGTCTTCAACAATTGTTAGAGTGAATTTTTCATCAATTTTCCCTAAAAAAAATTAATTTTTTACTTTATTCGCTTTCTTTTTTTCCCAAATTAAAAATTCACACACATCATAAAAATTACACATTAACTGCAAAGGGTATTAAAAAAATGATAAATTACAAACACACCATCTGAAATTTATTTAAATTACAAATTATTTCTATAATTCTAGAAATTATATTATGCCCCCTAAAGTTTCTAATTTCATAACAAATAGGTCCTTTTATTAATAAATCATCAGATTAATTAACAGTTTTTAATAATGTTAAAATTTTATTTAAATTAATAATTCAGATAATTTTATTATTGTATAGATGAACAGTTAGAAATTTCACTTTTTCAATTAATTCTGTTAAATAAAAATTCTGACAGGAAAATATTTATAATTTTTCAAACTATAAGAGGCAATTCGTATTTTAAACAAACCTTAGGAGATATATTTGTAATTTATCTATAAAAAAAAAGTTCCAAAAATACAAAAATAGATCATAAAATGGAACACAATATTCTCATATGAGGTGAGTTTGCTTTGTAACATCAAACTTTAGGAGTGTTGTTCGTTGTGGCCCCAGTTCGGGAACCCACAGCCAGTGCACAGCACTTTATGAGAAAGAATCCAAAGGCGTGGCCGGCCACGGCCACCATGAAAATCCCAAGGTTGTAGGACATGACAGAGAGCATGACCATGTAAGCAAGACCGGTCCGGAGAGCATAGACACCGGCCTGAGTCAACCCGCCAACCATTGGGCTCATACCCGGCTTTGCTGGTAGAGAGATGGACAAGACTTCAATGGCAACAGAGAGAAAGAAGATGAAGAAGAGAGACAGTATGTACATGCCAAGTCTGTTGTTAGGCCATCCTTGGAAGAGAATGATGACTTCTTTGCCCCAGTAGAAGCTCACGTGCATGATCATGTCATTCATGTTCATAGTATCATTGGACATTGATCCCGGCGGCATAGTCATGTCACCAGACATTTTGGGGAATTTGGGAGAGAAGTACAAGATGAAATGGGTATGAAAGCTTGTCTTGTAGGCTTTTATATACAGGTGTGTTTATTTGGTTAGGGCATGATTACACTTTACCCCCTTCAATTATCACTATTTTTTACTTTATTCCCTCAAATTAAAAATTAATAGAATATACCCTCTTCGTCTTCTGAAAATTTTCAACCTAATCCTTATGTCTTTATTCCATTAACAAAAACAGACGGAAAATGTGCATATTAATAGAATATACCCTCTTCGTCTTCTGAAAATTTTCAACCTAATCCTTATGTCTTTATTCCATTAACAAAAACAGACGGAAAATGTGCATATGTAATATGCACATGTCTAATCTTAAACCTTAAATCCCACTATAACAAAATAAACTATTTACGACATCATGTTTACGGCATGCATGAAATGCATGTCGTTATTAGTACATTCTATGATATTTTTAAACAAGTTACTGTCTACATACTGTTAGGCAATGCTATATTCCTATATATATATATATATATATTATATTAAAACTAACCTTTTACGGCATATAAAATTATGTCATGAAAAATGTAATAATTTATGACATGCAAGAAAATGTCGTAAATGATTATATACGACATACATAGTATATCATAAATATATTAAAAATGACTTTCTACGGCATACAAAATTATGTCGTCAAAAGTGTAATGATTTATGACATGCAAGAAAACGTCATAAAATATTACATACGACATACAAAGTATGTCATAAATATATTAAAAATAACCTTCTACGGCATGCAAAATTATGCCATAGAAAGTATGATGATTTATGGGATGATAAAAATTTCGTAAAAAATTATATATGACATACCAAGTAAGTTATTAATGTTTAATTTATTACTTTTTACAACTTCACCTGCATGTCGTAAATGACGCTCAGCTTTTCACGACATATCATATAACGGCATTTGTGTGCATGCCGCATGTACAAAAGAATTTTTACGACATGCATTGCAAGCCATAAGAATTCAATTTTGTTGTAGTGCCCTTTAAAGATCTATCATAAATATGACATGTGTATATTACATACATATTTTTTGTCTATTTTATTAACATAATGGAGATATTAATTTTCAGAAGATAAAGAGATAAATTTTTAATTTGAAGGAATAAAATGAAAAACAGCGATAATTGATGGGGGTAAAGTATAATTTTCCCTTTGGATGTGGAGTAAGAACCAAAGAAATTTATGGTGTGATTAGGATAGAGAGAGACAACACCGTTAGATAGCATTTGGTATTTTTGGTTGTTTATTCTTTCACGTATATCAATGTATTTTGTTGGTTGTTTATCCTTCGTCTGTCTGTTAGGAGTGAATGAGGCAAAAGAAAGATTCCGATCGGCTGCTTACAGTTCATATAATTATTATGACACATACAGGTTTGGTTGCTGATTGAACCTGTTCAATATCTCTGTATGAATGAACAGTTTTTGATCTCTCTCTTCTTGAATCAATAGAGTATATACTTGTTATATCTTTTTTTTTTTTTTTTGATAACTCGGGTATTTCTAACCCGTTGATTTTAAGAGAAGGTAGGACTAATCCAGAGGGCTCTGAAGTTAACGACCGGGCAAACTTCCAGTGGCTCCAAGAGGTGACTCGAACTCGAGACCTGTGAATTTTATCCTCCAGACTATACTTGTTACATCTTGAAAGACCCATTTAGGAATAACAAATTCATGGGTAGGTGAGATTTACATTATACAGTCTACTCTTTTTTAAGTATATATATATTTTTTTACAAATTTTCAATGATCCAATAAATTTCTTGAAAAAAAAAAAAAAGGAAAATTACATATCAGTAGTGGTTAGGAAAAATATTATCATAATTTTTTCACATTTGTGTAATACTTTTTTCAAAATTCACCCTGAATAGTAATTTCCCCTAATTTTTTTATTTTTATTTTTATTTGAACAAAATATAACAAAAGAAACAATATAGAAATTGGAAAGAAAATAGTACTTACTAATTTATTAAGAGCAATGATTCTCAAGTTGAAATTCAAACCAAAACCAATAAACGTGTTCAGCTTAAATTCGTCAGTGCCATATGTTTGGCTTGAATTCCAATTTTCAAATCATTTTATTTTTTATTAATACATAAAGCCAATTATATGCTTAAAATTCCATATTATTTCTTCAACCAATTTGAACAGTTCTAACACAAGATTTCTTGACCTCCCACTTAGGAACAATAACAGTAAGAACTCCATCATGCATAAAAGCCTTCAGTTGATCAACCCTGACATTCTCAGGCAACCTAAACATCCTCATAAACTTGCCGCTGCTCGTCTCAACGCGGTGCTTCTTCTCTTCTCTCTCCCCTCTCTCTATGTTTCTCTCTCCGCTTATCTTCAACACTCTGTCTTCCTCTACTTGCACCTTCACTTCATCTCTCTTGAGCCCCGGAAGCTCAGCGATGAAGACATGAGCTTCTGGGGTCTCTTTCCAATCAGTTTTGGCATTGATGAAGCCTAGGGTTTCATTATTAATGGGGAATGGAGGAGGGTGGCCATTGAAGGGACTTTGGAAGTAAGAGTCCGTGAAAGGGTCCCAAACTTCGAAAGAAAAAGGATCGTAGGTGTTGCTTCGGTGAGAGACAAAACCAGGGACATGGATCGACATTGATGTTGTGTAGGTTGTTTTTACGTTGAGGGCAAAGGTTAGCTTGTGGTGTATATATAGGCCAAGGATGTTCTTCTGGCGTGCTATTTTAATACATGAAAAATTCCAAGTGTACACAATACGATGATGGAATCAAACATAACTCTTTATTTTGTTTGATGCTGTGATGGAATTTTGCGCACATAGAAAAACTGTTTAATACAATTCTAACCATTAAACTATGTAAAAGAAGAATCTTTAACCACCACGAATTTCAAAGGAAGAATCTCCTTTTACTTTAAGTTTTAGAATCTATAACTATCACGAATTTAAGATGAACAAGCATATATATATATGTGTGTGTATGTATGTATAGATAAATAGTGGGTTAGAGAGCTTGTTGTGAGAATTTGTGAGCTGACAAGAGTAGCAGTCCAAAATTTTTGGAGGCCTTGGATTAAATATCGAAATGAAATCTTATTTAACATTTGAAAATTTGGATCTTTCACCGATTAATTTTTTATTTTTTTTTGAAATTTTCTTGTGAGCTCTAGACGAGAGCCTAAGTAACTTAATAGTAAAGCAATCTCTCATTGAGAATTGTGAGTTAGTGGATTGTGGAGGTAAAATAAATAATGTGAAACTATTAATTTGAAACAGAACTTGTTAGATATTAAGCTCGATTCATAAGACTGACTTGTAAGTCTCCCTTCATTTTATTGGGATGTTACGTGTGTTGCTGGTGAAGTGGATTTGATGTGGCTGTAGCAGTAAATCTGTCTTTTTCTGCAATTTTCAAGCCCATAATTATAGTCCAGCCCAAGGTCACTATGGGCTAGACAGCGTGTAACATGATTATAATTTTCAGTGGGCACAAGGCTTGGGCCACACCTCCCTTGTTTTAAGGGGAAATAGAGGGTCCAATTAGCTCGATGTTGCATACAACCACATAGATCCACTGATTCTAACCATCCCCCCCCCCCGAAGTATCTTTATAGGTAGATTTGTTCTTATTATACAAAACCATTCCATTTGAATAAAAAAAATTTCTTGCTAGGGTTTTTTTAATAAGGGTTCATTTCAAGAAAGGCCTCGTTTGGTGAGACTTTTTTCTTTTTAATGTCGTTTCTACTTACTCGAACCATGCCAAGTCAAGATGAAAAACCACATAGCTCACAAAGAGAGAAAAAAAAAAAAAGAAAGCCATATGAATGATAACCATGGTACAGACCCCCACTATTCCCCACCCCCACTACCCCCACACACACGTGGGAGTTAGTGATTGGAGAGGGAAAAAAAAAATTTGACCAATGACCGCCTACTGGGAGTCTCCCCCAATGGGGGTTCCAAGTATTATACTATGAATGAATACATAAAAGCGTGCTAGAGATCGAATGGCTTTATGCTTTTTGAGGGTTGTCGCAAATTTTTTGCAATATCCCTTATTTCAATCTGCATATCTAAGAAAAATCATTTGGCAGACTGATGTAAGCGACAAACCTTTCCACACAAGAAAAGACTCCACACCTATATGCTTCAGGAAAAAGTATAACCTACCTGCTAATAATTAAATAAAACAGTCGGTTGCTCGAAACGATTTGGGGAAATCTTCGAAGACAAAGAATTTCATTTTTTTAAAACAAGAAAGGGAAAAACTATACAAAAAATAGAACAATTTGGAGAAGATATTGAGAAAGAAAGGGAAAAACTATACAAAAAATAGAACAATTTGGAGAAGATATTGAGAAAATATTGAACAAGATTAGGCCTAATAACAATTCTAGTCGAAAAAATTGAATCAAAAATTCTTTTATGTAAATTAGATGATGATATAATGAGATGCCTTATCTTTAAACTAAAACATTCATTAGGAACATTGGTAAACTTAATTCACTTTAAAATGAAGAGTTTTTCTTTCTAATTATTATTGTTTTTTCTTTCTTTTTTACAAAGATATATTCTGTGTCTCTTTTAACACACACACACACACACACAAAAAAAGAGTATATAGATTGCCCAAAACCTTTGCGTATAATAAAGTGTTGAGTATGAAAGAATGAATGTCAAGATTGGAATACAACAAAGCCTAAAAAATAGAAAGACAAATAAAGTGAAAATGATTAACTATTCCGACAACAAGCGTGCAAGAATTTTCCCATACCTTTTGTAGGGTATTAGCCCCTTTAATTTTTTTTTTTTTTTTTAAAGGATATGACTTTATATATTTTAAGCAGTAATATTATAAACTCATAAAAGATATTTAAAAAAATATTAAAAATGTATTTATGGATCACAATCATTTTATATAGAACCCACATCACATAAATTTTAAATCTACAAAATACAACTCATTTTAGGATATCTAATCGTGATCCATAGCATTTTTGTATGTTAAAACTTGTGAATTGGTTATCTTTTCAATGCCTAGGAGTAGATATTCTGTCTCAAAATGGTGTTTGTCATCTCGTCTAATGATTTTTTTTTAAAATATTCTAAAAAAAAAACAATTTAGAGAATTGATCCACTTTTTAAATTATTTAGGAAACTAATCTACTTTTTAAAATCACATCTTGCAAGTGCAATATATCTTAGTGAAGTCCAGGTTAGAATTTGGAATGTTGGAATATGAAATATTATATATTTAATTTTAGAGTTTGATTGTGTAATTATTTAATTCATTTTTTAATGTTTCTTATATTGATTATATATAGACGTGGTCTCACCCAAATTAGGGTAAGCCAATATTTTATAACTCTCTTCTTGGTGTCAGAGTCAAACCCTAGCCACCCACCCAAACCTTAGCCACACACCACCCTTGTCTTCTATTGTCGGTAGCCCTAAACCACCTACCCAGCCACCCAACATCCCTTCTTCTTCCCTCCACCCAGCCAAAAGTCTTCCTCTTCCTTCTCAGCCCCTCAGCAGTCCCTTTTTCTCACTGTCACAACTTCCTTAGGTGTCGACTAAACCCTACCTACCTTGGGTCTAGTGCAACTTCCCCTCCTGGTTGTTGTTCTTCTCTCTTTACCCTTCTACGGGTCATGTGCTGATGTGGTAAACACTTTCTAGTTTGATTTTCTGTTGTATTGGGCTACCGGTGTGTTCAGTAGCATCTCTTTTGTGTGACGCCGCTACTTCAACTTTGTGGTGTTTTAGCATGTCTGACTTTGTTACACAAACTCAGAGCATTATGCCTCGTTCAGATGTATCCTTGGCCTCCCATGTTCCGGTTCATCGGATTACCAGTGTTGTTCACTGGTCGCAACTTTGCGGCTTGGAGTTGGTCTATCCATCTCTACCTTGGGGGTAGAGGCAAATCTAGATGGCTTTTGGAAACTGAGATGCAACCTCTCGCTGATGATCCTAAGCGGGTTCAATGGGATATTGACAATTGCACCTTACTTGGTTGGATGTTCAACTCTATCGAAGAACGCTTCTACAACATGTTCATGTACTGTGATACAGTTCCTCGGTTGTGGAGTGCTCTTACCCAGACGTACGCACATGCCCACAATGATGCTAGGATTTTCGAACTCTAGCAGGATATTTCTCATGCCTCTTAGGAAGCTTTGGGTTTTACCATTGCCAAATTTTTTGGGTACCTTTAGTCTCGCTGGGAGGAGTTAGCACAGTATCAGATGAAATGGCTCTTGCTACCAAGTTTAGTTCTCGTGCTTCTGGTAGCAAGGTTATTTGTCACCATTGTGGTGCAGCTGGTCATGTCCAAGCACGGTGCTTCAAGCTTGATCCTGAGTTGAAGCAACGTTTTGCAAGGACACGTCCTTCAAGCTCTCTCCATACTATTGCTATTGCAGACACCTCTAGTATTCATCAGTTGACTCATCATGTTGATCTTCATCAACTTCAATCTCAGATTGGTCGCCCTCAAGAGCACCTTGGTTCATTCATTACCATGTCTCTAAGTATTCCTTCCACTACTACACTCGCTACAGGTACCCCTACAGCCTTTCATGTTCGCACTGCACTTATTTGGGTATTGGATTTTGGGGCCAATGATCATATGACCAATGAGTTTTCTTGTTTATCCTCTCCTGTCTCTACTACTGCTTAGACTATATGTCTTGTTGATGGGTCTATTTCACATGTCCAATATAAGGGTGATGTGTCCTTGTCGTCTGATATTACACTTATTTCTGTCTTACATGTGTCTCGTTTTGCTTATAATCTTCTCTCTGTGAGTCGCCTTGCTAAAAACCTTCATTGTGCTGTTATTTTCTTACCTACTCATTGTTTATTACAGGACCTGACTCCAAAGAAGATTTTTGGCAAGGGGTTTGAGCGCGACAGGCTATACTACTTTGGGGACCCACCACCTTCTCATCCTACCACTTCTAACCTGCAAGCAGCTGTGTTACTTGAGTCGTCTTCCTATGTGTTTTGTTTTCAAACTTTAGCTTTGTGGCATGCTCGTTTAGGACAAGCAAACTTTAATTGTTTATGTTTACTTTTTCCATCACTTGATAAAGCTTGCAAGGATCATCAGTTTCATTGTGTTGTTTGTGAACTATCTAAACATACTCGTATTTCTTATATTCCTCGCATGTATCGTGCTTCCTGTATGTTTGACCTTATTCACTTTGATATCTGGGGTCCTTCTCTTCTTTTGGCTTTTTCTGGGCATCGCTATTATGTAACTTTCATAGATGACCATTCTAGGTGTACTTGGGTTTATTTGCTTAAAAAAAAGTCTGATGTGCTTCCATTTTTTATTCAATTTCTCCAAATGGTCAAAACCCAATTCCACACCGTTGTATGCAATGCCCGTTCTGATAATAGGGGGGCATATACATTTCGCTCCCAACTTAATCAGCAGGGAATTTTGCAGCAACTCACTTGTACTTACACCCTTGAACAAAATAGGATTGCTGAACGTAAAAACCGTCATATTATGTCTGTTGTTCGGTGTCTTCTTTGTGGGATGAATGTCCCTAAATCCTACTAGCATATGGTTGTGCTTACTGCTGTTTACCTCATTAATCGGACACCTAATTGGATTCTTCATGGGTTGGCCCCTTTTCAATTACTTCGACTAGATACTGTTATTTCATCTTGTGCCTTGTATGTTTGGTTGTACTTGTTTTGTTCAGGATCGTAGTCTAACTTGGACCAAGTTAGATAATAAGTCTCTTAAATGCATCTTCTTGGG